ATATGATATGATAGAATAGAATAGAATAGAATAGAATAGAATAGAATAGAATAGAATAGAATAGAATAGAATAGAATAGTGTGAACCTTACAGTTTTGGACAAATGTCGCCCTCTGCTGGTAAAGATTGTTTTATGCAACTATGGACGATAACCGCACATTCGTAACAAACAGACAAACAAAAATTTCATTTTATTCAGAGAAAATACTGTTGTCTAAAATTAAACAACAGTTTATACATGTTTTCTGTAACTTTTTCACATCTCTTCTAAATTATAACGTGGGGATTTTCGTTTGTTCACTAAAATTATTTTGTGTCGAATCTACTGCGCAGTGTTTTTCCCACGGTAAGCAGACCAAGATGGCGGTCCCTACAAAACAGTGAGTGTAGCATGCTAACAAAGCCATGATAATGTGGTATTAGAAACTAATGGATAATGCATTTGACGGAGATAGTATTTGTGATTTTGACTGAAAACCGMAGTGTCTGTTGCAGTCGTGGCGCTAAAACTAGCTACCTTTTGTTGGACGGAAGCGCTGAAACCAGCTAGCAACATGCTAACACTGCACGGCTAGTTGTTCATTTGACAGACGGTGCTCCATTTAGTTTGTATAATTTTATGAACTTCCATATTTCACACGTTTTCTAGCATCCTAATGTAGCTGGAGTAATACAATTTGTTGTTTGTGAGGGTAAAGTAATCATTCTAGCTAACATTACTTTATAGACATGCGTTTGAACCGTGTATTTTCTTTTATGAGTATAAGGGCTGAAATTAGCTACTTGTCAAATTGACAACTCAGGAATTTGGCATTTCTTCTGGGGAAAATTAAAAGCTAGTATATAGTATATATTAACTACTAGTAGTACTATGTTGCAAATTCCTTAAAATTTTGTTAGACATTTTACAACACCAGTAAAACCAACCCAACAGAAAACGTGAGTCCCCTGGTTGTTTTATTGTTTAATCTTAAACCTAAAAACATGACATTTTTGGTCTCACAACCAGAGCTCTTGAGTAACAGTGATCTGGATAAATAATAAAATATGACTATGCTTCATCCAACTGTCTGCTGTCTTCTGCTCAACAATAGCCTTCCAGTGAATAACTGTTTACACAGCTGCTTTAGTTATGAGAGAAGACAAGAGGTTTAGAAAGAAGAAATGATTAAATCATCTTTACATTTTTCATGTACATGTTTCAGTATAGATATTTTTTTATTATAATCAGTCACTCTGTGTGAAAATATACTCTAGAACAAAGCTGTTCCCTGATTTGCCCTCAGGTATGGGCTGATCTTGCCACAGAAGAAACGAGCATCAAACACTGCAGTCCTACCGAAGCCCTCTGTGTTTGGGGATGACTCTGATGATGAAGTTAGTAAACTGTCTGACCTGTCATGGAAAGCGACCAAATCTGGTAAAAGAACGGCTTCTGTCCAAATTTATTGAGTAAATCTTATGTTTTATTCTTTAGACCTCGGTTGGGGAGAGTTTACAGAGAGAAGCTATCAAAAAGAAGATGATGAAGCAGGTAGGAGGAGAGGAAAATCATCAGTGTTTGCCTTCCTTCACATTTATTCTTTAATCTTTTTTTCCCCTTCTCTCTGCAGACTCGTTTGGAGATGCAGAAGGCTCTTGATCAGGACAGCACCGTGTATGACTATGATTCTGTGTACGACGACATGCAAAAACAGAAACTGGAGAGCAACAAAAAGGTTCTGGGAGGTGCCGACAGACGGGTAATTTCTTTGAAGCTGAAAACACAAAACACCCCCAGCTTTTGTGTTTAAAACGATTTGTTCAAGTGTCCCTTTTGCTGCAGGAAAAGTAACATAATCTGAGCACAACGTAACGTTTACTCCTTGTGTTGCAGCCGAAATACATTCACCAGCTAATGAAAGCGGTGGAGGATCGAAAGAAAGAACAAGAGCGAAGAGAGGAGAGAAAAATTCAGAAGGAAAGGGAAGCGGAGGGGGAGAAGTTTGCTGATAAAGACGCTTATGTGACTTCTGCGTACAAGAAAAAACTGGAGGAGCAGAAAGAGGAGCAGGAGAGAGAAAAACGACAGGCAGAGATCGAAGGTTAGAGCGATACTTTCCAACTAAAATGTTTTACTAAACTTAAATGAAGCAGAATCCAGTAAGTGTAAAATTCTTTTAAATTTTGATCTTTCTTTAAAGTAAAGGTGTTAGCTTTTAGGGCAAATAGGGGATATTTTTAAAAACACAAAATCCATAATAATGTAGTTTATCTTAAAGTATTTTATCCTCTGCCAACTTTATCCAGAAAAAAAGGATGACTTAAAGAAATATGAAGTGCTGTGAAAACAAGCAGCTTTGTTAGATTATGTCCATATTTTTTAATATTAGTGTTTTTTCTGTGTAGCTGCTTTGGATGTGAAGAAACAGAAAGACCTGAGCGGGTTCTATCGGCACCTCCTGAATCAGACCGTTGGAGAGGAGGCCATACCTGATCGCTCCACAAAGTCTGTCGTCATCATTTTTATCTCTTGCTCTGGGAATTCTGCGTTTTGCTCAAAGCCCAAATCATTGATTGTGTTTGTTTTCTGCGCTGCAGTCAAACTTCAAGTGTTTCAGTGAAGACTGAGAGGACGTCGCCGGTTCCCTCGCCCACGTCCCACGAGAACATCCTAAGTTCGGGAAGCGACGAGGAGGAAGGCCGCCAGCAGAAAACTGCGTTCAGCAAGCCCGCGGGAGGGTCCGGACACTCGAATCGCCAGTACCGACAGAGGTCGCCTTCATCTGGGAGCGGAGAAGAGAAGGAGACGGAGAGAGAGCGGAAAAAGAAAAGTCATCGAGACAGAGAGAGAGAGAGAGACAGAGACAGGCACAGGGGCAGAGACAAGGACGACAGACATGGAGACAGAAGAAGTGACAACGACAGAAGAAAAGACAGAGATCGAGGGCGAGACGACGACAGAGGCAGAGGCAGGGGGGACACAGAGAGAGAAGACAGGCACAGAAAGAGGGAGAGGAGCCCCAAAGAGAGGGAGAAAAACACTGAAAGAGAGAAGAGGAGGAATTCAAACGATGAGAAACGGAAGGACAAACATCAGGAAGAYAAGGAGCGAAAGAAGGAACCAGAGAAGGAAAAGAGTTCCGTGAGCAAATCAAAAGATGCTGAAAAGGAGCGATCCGTCAGGGAGGGTTCAAAAGAGGAAGAGAAACCACCGATGAAAGAAAACGAGAAAGAGGACACAGAGGAAAAGACAAACAAGTTCACAAAGCGCAGCACGGATCAGACTCTGAGCTCGGCTCGAGAGCGGTACATGGCGAGGCAGATGGCTCGTTCAGCCAGTAAGACCTACATCGAGAAGGAAGAGGACTGAGTCCAGACAAAACCTCTGGTCTCAACCTACAGGACCATGAAGAGCTATTCRCTTTGTACTCACCCTCCATTACCCTTCATCCTAACTGAAGATTTAATTCTATAGAAGCTGAACATAAAGCAGAGTTTTTTTTAATGTCCCTAAAGCTTCTGTAGAAAGGATTCCTTTTCCTTCACACTAAAACATCTACTGTATTCAAACAGCACTGATGTTTGCTGACATGTAGAGGAGAAATCGATAAGTGAAGTCAGTTTGTTTAAATCTTAGTCTAAGAAAAACATTCTGTAATTAATCTGTCATGAAGCAGACTGGMATCAGTTCTTAGTGACAGGATTGGAGTGGAGCTTTGAATTGGTTCTCGAATTAAATTCCCGTTGTGTAAAACTGTTTGAGCTTTTGTACAGTTAAATGTTTAACCCAAATGCTGAACCAAGAAACCAAGTGTGGAATAAACTGAACCAGTGATTTTGTTCACATCTGATGTTCAATTTATTCTCAGCTTCTCGTTTTTACTGCTCTTACCTCAGATTGAGATTTGAGTGCACACTGCTGGAGTTTAAAGATCAAGAATTTAATCACTTACAAAAAGTTTACACTTGCTGGTAATAGAGGGTATTTAAAAAGATCAGTGTTCAACTTAGTATGCATAAATATTTTTATCACGGTCCAATATATGAAAACTGAACTGCAGATGCTTCAAGGTTTAACATCCAAATAATGTGCATCAATTCTATTGGCAACCAAGAGACCCTTTGCCCTATCAGAAATATTTAGTTTACTGTGKAAGACAAAAAGATGTGTGTGTGTGGGGTGGGGGGGTCGGTCTATTAGAAATCAAGCATCACAACAGTTTGACGTCTTTATTTAGTTTTGTTACAATCAGCAGTGATGAGAAGCAGGAAAGTCCTTATAAATCATCTAACAGTGTCCGTGGCAACTGTTCAGGCCAGCAGGATTATTAATCTGTTGGTGCAGAAAGCAGAACGTGGAAATGACTTGAGGTCTGGCAGGAGGACCGACTCTTCACATGACCTTTCACTGGTTCACCTGAGGAGGAAAGGATGGATTAGATTTAAAAAAAAAAAAACATTTGGAAAACTGGGTGGTGAGATCAAATTCTGGTGAAACAATGTCAATAAATGGTGACCATATTTACAGCACAATGTCCTAATCTGCTCAGTACTGTGGCTGCATATTTTATCAGCTCAACTTCAGCCCATTTCCCCACTTAGAACAGTCATTTTACAAATATATTTACCAGGTTGAGCACACATGTACCAGGGCAACAACTGCAGCCGATCCGCATCCAGTCCTGAAAGAAAARATATAATTAGTGTACTAATACGGTCATTAAAAACTAATGTGTGACGCTGCCAATCAGAGTTCAGAAAAGCAAAAGTCATCACCGAACAATCTGACGGTAATTCCAATACAGTTCATCACAACAGTGAATGGCTGAATTTATGTTTAATAGTTACCTTTCAGTCAGCCACACTGGAGGGGAGTCACATTTCAGATGAGGCTCAGCCAGACCGCCTTGAAAGAGAAAAAAAGTTTGAAGAAAACAATAAACCAGCAGTAATTACAGCAATCGTACACAAACAGGTCATTTTTTAGTGTTCAGAAAACAATGTGATCACCACCGAACAATCTGACGGTAATTCCAGCATAGTTCATCACAACAGTGCGTGACTGAAACCATGTACAAATGTTTTTAAAAAATTACCTTTCAGTCAATCACATGCACTACTGGACAAGGATCAGCTCCAGAAGACCTGCAGAAACAAGAGTTAGGAAAAATTAAAACAAAGTGCAAAAATGAAARTCTTAAAAACAACTTCTAAAGACAGACTCAGAAAAATGGATAAGAAAAAAATCGTCAGTTGTCGCATCTGACGGCACTTCCTAYTCCAGGTTATCATCACAGAAAGCTGCTCAGACTTTAACAAGCTTTTCTTTTAACTCAACTCTCTTCGGTTATTTGTATTTTAGTCAAACATGTTAGTTTTGTTCGTACAAAAAAGATGAGTTTATGAAAAGCTCAGTGTCACAATTAAATTATCTCAAACTTACAAGGCCAGTCTGAAAACTGAGGCTGCACTGGAGAGGAGCCACATTTCAGATGAGGCTCAGCCAGACCACCTTGAGGAGAGAAATACAGTTTTAAGGAAATGATAAAGCAGCAGTAACTACAGCAATTATACACAAAATGTCATTTTGTGTTCAGAAAATAATCTATCACCACCAAACAATCTGACGGTAATTCCAGCAAGGTTCATCACAACAGAAGCAGCTGTTTTTAATTYGATTTTTTAAATTCAATTTGGTCTCTTTACCTGTAAATGATGTCAGCCTTTCAGTCCARCTGGAACCTTATACATCCCACTACAGGGCAGCTATTAAAGAGGGGAGACATTTAAAACATAATTTTATGTTGACAATAACTACATCATCTAATAGTAAATGAACTCAAGCCTCACCACTGATAATTTTGATGTCACAGATTTAATCTAGCAGGTAAAAAACATCCACCAACCTCTGTCATGACATGCTGTTTTCTTGAGCTCTCCCATCCCGAGGCTGAAAAGGAAACCGACTTGTGTTAACCAATTTAAGTTTATTAGTTGAGGCTGAGATTTAGRGAGGTTTCAGGCTCAGAACAGTGACAGAAACATCGTCAGTTGTCGCATCAGACGGCACTTCCTATTCACAGTTTTCATCACAGACAAGAGTCATTAAAATGACTGATCACTTCACACTCACCTCCTTGAGACAAGAAGACCTCACAGAGGAGTGTTTGGAGCATTTGTGCTGAGATAAACAGGTAACCCCTAAAAAGAAAGAGAAACAATTAATAAAACATAAATAAAACACTGCCATGACTAAACGTTTAATCATCGCAACTACTTCTCATATTTAAGTGGATTCTTTGGAACGAATTTAATCAGTTAGGGTTTATAAAATTCATTTTAATTTAATATCTATCAAAAAAATGACTGAGATATACTGCAATTGAACAAGTTTTAATTTCTAAAAATTACAAAATAGTTAGTTATGCAGTTTACTTGAAATAGAAGAGAAAARGCTTGTATTTATTACTGCAGTAAAGCTAGTATTTTATTACTGCAGTAAAGCAATGAACACAGCAGATACTCTCCACGTGGCTGGGGCCTAACCATAACGCTACACATACAGCACTTAAAACTACACTTCAATTTAACCAACAAAGAATACAAATATACAATTTGGTGGTATTTTTAAAAGTAATACCATAAGCTTTTAAAAATTTCCGGCCAAGCATACCTGGTTAAAGTAACTCTTAAGCGCTCTAAACTCCTCTCTGGTCRGCGGGAGAAAACCAAAAGGGCTGATGGGAAGATTGGTGAAGCTTTTAAACTCAGGCGGCGCAGGAAATATACGTCACTTCATAAAAAAACTTTATTGAGCACAATTCGTTACAGCCAACAACCACAGTTTTCACGTTTGCAAATATGGGTATATAAATACGTGCAATGAATAAAAGTATATTTTATGTAGATAATAAACCTTTCATATATTTATAGAAGTGAGGAAAGACGTCTTCTGGATAAACTTGACCGAGTGTTTGTGTCTTGACGTTTTGGAACGCGAGGGGGCGCTGTTTGACCGATGACTCTGATTTAATCTGCTGTGCTCAATTAAAAGACAGTTTGAGTTTAGGGAAGATTTCAGAGGCACGCCTCGCTCAGAGACGACTTTTTGTTTTGTTGTTCAACTTTGGATATTTCATCATAAAGTTACAGCACTTTTCTTTCTTCTCCTTCAGGTAAAATGATTATTATTATTATTATTATTATTATTATTATTATTATTATTATTATTATTATACTGTTATAAAACCAAAACAATTCATTGACTAAAAGCAGACTCGACTTGCTCATCGTTTCAGCTTGGAAATAAATAAATCAATTAAATCATGTGTTCATGAAGAGCAACATGTAATGTTTCACTCTGCCTTTTTCATAAAATACTTACATCATGACTAACATTTTAAATAAAATTACATGTTCTGTTTCAAGGAAACTTGGAGGATTTTACATTGTTTGCCTCCAGAGTGTGATTCAGAAATACTGCAGCATGTTGCCACCAGTGAAGAAGGACCGGATCATTACTCACCTTCCAAAAGTTAGTATAACACATCATAACACAATCTCTAAAGGCGTACCCAAATTCACTTTGCATGCAGTTTAGTTTGTTTAAATAATGTCTAACCCTAAGTTAAAATTAGATTTTTGGAAAAATAATGCTAAATGCAATAAAAAATGTTGTATAGACAGTTTTAGCTGTTGAGTCTAGATTTTATGGTTATTTTTCTACCATAACATGTTTGTTTAAGGCAGTGGCGTCCAGAGGAACAGCTGTTCTGCATGTTTCAGATGTTTCTCTGCTCTGACACCTGATCTGAATGAATGAGTGAATAACAGGTTTCTGCACATGAAAACCTGCTGGGAAATGCTTCAAAACATTATTTTGTTCTAACACTGCTTATTTTAAGTTCCAAATAACAAGAGTGCTAAAACATCTGTTTATAGCTATAAGTGAAAAACAGTTTTGAAGATATATTGCAAACCATTGTGTTCAACCTTTTTTATTTCAAAAAGTATTGGGGAGCAGCATTATTGTGCTGAAATATCATTTATCTGAGAAGCATGGAGGTGGTAGTTTCATGGTTTGGACCTGGTTTGTTGTAGCTAACAGTTTTCAGATCATCAGTCATCAAACTGAATATTAAGACAACATATTTTATTATCAAACAAACAAACAAACAAAAAAGGTTTCTGTCAGCTAAATATCAGATAAAAGTTTGTTAGGCAGAAAACAATTGTTCTTGACACGTTATTATTCTGCTRAAGTTGTACTCAAATAATGTAGTTTTTCTAATCTATTGGGACTGTTAATTAATTAGATACCACTGCACACAAACACACACTTATGTGTACAACAACACAACATCAGGAAAAAGGAGCATGAGAAACTGGAGAAATACCAGGGCCTCAGAGAGGAACTGGAAAAGACCTGGAAGGTGAAGACCACAGTGGTGCCTGTGGTCATCGGGGCCCTCGGGGCAGTCACCCCCAAACTGGAGCAGTGGCTAAAACAGATCCCAGGAACAACATCAGACATCTCAGTCCAGAAATGTGCAGTTCTAGGCACAGCTAAGATACTGCGCAGAACCCTCAAGCTCCCAGGCCTCTGGTCGAGGACCCGAGCTCAGAGGATGAAAGAGACCACCCGCGGAGGGTGAGAAGGGAATTCCTTCTCACCCTCCGCGGGTGGTCCAGTTTGGGGGTGACTGCCCCGAGGGCCCCGATGACCACAGGCACCACTGTGGTCTTCACCTTCCAGGTCTTTTCCAGTTCCTCTCTGAGGCCCTGGTATTTCTCCAGTTTCTCATGCTCCTTTTTCCTGATGTTGTGGTCATTTGGTATTGTGACATCCACAACGGCTTTCCTCTGTTCTTTATCCACCACCAATTTACTGTGTGTGTGTATATTCCCTTCTCACCCTCCACGGGTGGTCTCTTTCATCCTCTGAGCTCGGGTCCTCGACCAGAGGCCTGGGAGCTTGAGGGTTCTGCGCAGTATCTTAGCTGTGCCTAGAACTGCACATTTCTGGACTGAGATGTCTGATGTTGTTCCTGGGATCTGTTTTAGCCACTGCTCCAGTT